CGCATCGCTTCGCTTAGAATCTAAAACTCGAGAACTATCTATTTCATGATAATACGTATATTAATAGATATAAATGTGTCACAAAAAGTATTATTTGATCCAGTGGCGTACCCAGAGTGTGTGTGTGTGTGGGGGGGGGGGCTTCACCCCCCCCACCGTTGGCCGTGTTTTGAAATACATTTTATATCATAAAAGACAAAGTACAAACCATGATATTTCTGAAAAAACGGTATTATCTTTAGTAACTATGACCTAGTATAAGCAAAACATAAACGTTACGTTTATTATGGTACCGAATACCGATATAGATTGAGCCCCCCCCCTCATTCGAAAGTCCTGGGTACGCCACTGATCTGATCAGATGTTTGGCGGGGCTAAACATTTTTTCTAGTGGACCTCAACCCTTCTGAACACCCCTATGCTGTGCTCCTATATACCGACTATCCCCTTTTTTGTCAACATATAATATAAACAATAGACACAATACAGTTTATACAATCTTACATAAACGCACAATATATCTATCTATACGATTTATGAACTGCTCGTCGGCCATGTATAGTTACTTCAATCCGCTGCCCTGCAAGAAACGCTATTTGAAGTGTTCTGACCGTCTGCAGTATAGTCTTGGCACAATATATATCATAACAACATAATATATCTATCGTAGGCATATAGTCAAAATCAGGCATTTTATTAAACGCCTAGGCATATAGTCAAAGAATTTAATGTTTATGCAATTTCACTATCCGCCTGGACATTATTTAGTTAAATGCCTATATAATAAAAAGCATTTTGTATTATTTTAAAAATTTAAATATATTTTCTACCAGTCATTTATTGCTATTTTATACATAAAAAAAGCTGTATATTATTTTATTAATATGAAAAACACGTAGGTATATGAAAAAATAATATGTTTAATTTTGTGTTAATTATTATTTAGTATATTGTTTTAAAAATGAAATCATAAATATATTCAGGTAATAAATAATTAGATGTGATAGACATAAAAAATGATAGTACGTGAGTATATTGTATAGCCCAGTGTTTCTTAACCTGTGTTCCGCGGAACCCTAGGGTTCCGCGTAAGTGCTGTGCTGTGTTTTTATTAAAATATTAAAAATATCAAAAACATTTCGAAATAGATTGAATGTGACGCCGACACTAAGACTTTCATTAACAAACCTTACTCCAGATATTGATGACATATGCAGTCATATTCAAGCGCAACCATCCCATTAAGATTCATGCAATAATTGTATTATTGTTTTTCCTGTTATTACAATCTAATATAAATTTAATCTAATCTAAATATATTATATGTATAATGTTATTTCTCAATATAATCTAAATTCTAAATAAATAATTTAATTGTATTTTTATACAKTGTATTTAGTATTTAAATCACTAAAGTTTAGTGCATTTCTAATGTTGCCGCTWATCRCCRTGTTTTGTGTATCCTTCTTTTTTAAAGATATTTTCAGAGGGGTTTCGCATGAAAAAAATATTATTGCCTGGTGTACCGTGATATCAAAAAGGTTAAGAAACACTGGTATAGCCTATATAGTCAGCATAGTATATTGTACGAGCAGTGAGTATATACTATATTATATTCTTATTAAATAAAAATAAAAGTTCCATTGGTTTTTACCTTGGAAAATTAACGTAGGTACTAGGTTGTATGAGAACCTTATCTATATCGAGTACCGTGGGACAAATTATAATCTTATCGACTATAACGACAAAAATACGGCGTTATGGAAAAAGATACAGAACATGCGATTGAATTGTACAATATAATTTAGTTTAGTACGTCTATTACGTTCAAATAAACAACTGATAGAAAATATACAAAAAAATTTAAAATAATACAAAATGTTTTTTTATTTTATTTGCCTGGCACAAAATAGGCATATAGTCATTTAACTAAATGTCTAGGCGGATAGTGAAATTGCATAAACATTAAATTCTTTGACTATATGCCTAGGCATTTAATAAAATGCCTGATTTGACTATATGCCTACGACATATCTATATGTAACCTACGTCTTGAATAAAACAAACGTTGATTTGGATACTATTCGTGTCGTAAATCCTGTGGTATTATTATATTGGGATTTTTTTCTTCAAATTGACACTCTTAAAATAAAGAAGTAACGCCCAAAACGTAGTTTTTGTTGTTTTTTTTTTCAACTCGTTGTCGGTAACTTTGACTGTTCGTTTCTCTCCGAGCGTTTACTATTTAATGAGCCTATAATTTCGATAATCGAAAACTGTAATATTATTCCACTCGAAAATACATACATTTTTTAGCCTCGTATATAAAACATGTTTGTACGTCGGCAGACAATATACGACTGACACTGGTTTTTCAATATTGTGATATATTGATCATAGTTATTCGTGTTATCACACGTAAATGGTTTTTCCGTAGTAAATAAAATCATTATTATTGTGACCACTGCGGCATAGCAGATAACAAGTATCGCCCGGGAGGGGGGGATTATTTGTTCACTAAAATCGAAACCATAGCCTAACAATTGTTTGTTTTTATACAGATTTTATTAGGTATAGGTTGTGCTCAAGGCCGCACATGGTTCAACAATCTTCTGGAAGAGATGTCCGTGGTCAGTCACGGGTCTCGTCAGGACGCTGGTGATGTAGGGAAAGAGTGAAAAAAAAACTCAAATTTCCAAAAATTTTTTTTCTTATAAATATATTTAATAGAACTTTTTTTTTTTTCAATTTCGTCTCGCGTAAACAAACACAGAGCGGCACAGACATATAATATTATTAGGTATATTAGCTTCGTATAGTCGTATGTTATTAGCAACAGTAGGTACACAAATATATGCAAAAAAAAAATAAACGTCATTCAAAAAAATTATGGAAAAACCGCTAGAAACAATAATTGTCATGCGATTTCCATTGGTCTTCTCCTAACACGTGGATTTGAGCAAAGCTTAACAATATTACGACGACGGAGAGGTTCGCACGTCGCATTTTAGAAAGAATAATAAAAATAAACATATACACGGATATTATAGGACGACACATATCATTATTATACTATGCTGTACCTATACATATATATATATATTCAAAAATAAAAAATAAATATCGTTTACAGGTACATCGCGTACGTTTCACATATAGATAGGTATATATATAAAGTTTTATATCATGCTGTTATGGAAAACATACAAAATTTATAATTGGTTTTTTTCACGGACAATCTTTTTCGCGTCGTTCACCATTGCGAAGAAAAAAAATTACAGTTTTCAATTGATATTATACACGGTCCGAACATAGAAATATAAATGCACACGCGAGTACTTTATATTATAATATATATATATATATATATTTAGGCATGTTTTGTACAAATAAAAAATAATAATATTTTGTCCCTGTTTTACCGTTTTCCGTTTTTACAATCTCGCGACGGTTTTACAACATTTCGTTTCTATCACAACATGCACACGTTTTATATATTATAATAATATTACAATAAAAAATAGTATCATATCTATATATGTATGGTATTAATAATTCAATCGTCCGTATATTTAATATTACAATAGTTAAGATACCTATAACATTCATCTATTCTAAATTTTATATTAATATATTATATATATATGATATGACGTCGTATATATAATCTCGTTCGGAATAAAAATAAAACATTCGAATGATATGCGGTTTTCGTGATAAAGAATTTCCGTTTTTTATTCATCCGGTTTAATTGGTACGAGGGAGGCGGAAAACGCGTACGCGTAAAAAAACTTTGCTTTTTTTAAACCTTTTTACCTGACTACGACGGACACACGCTTCAAACGATTACGAAAATTAATAATAATAATAACAGTCGCTTCGCATATCGATTTCGCGATATTTCTATTTTCCCGCTATAGTCGCCGAAAGTTATTTCCCAGTAATCAGACATAATATATTATTATAAAATATATATGGGGAGATAATAAATAAATAATCGTTATTAAATTTGAGCAAATATTCGCTTCGGAGCGGAGTAACAAAATAATTTAAAAAAACAATACACTAACATTACAATATTATACGAATAATGACGGATGACTGTGTAAGTTATATAGCTGCGGGACGACCCGAATGCATCGAAAACCAAGCCGGAAAATCTCGCGACGATAACAATGGTACAAAAACGAAAAAAAAAATAAAATGGTAATAAAAAAACGAACTTACGTAGGATGGCACGTCGCGGTACATAATACATAAATAATAATAATAATAATATACAAAATAATAGTATCACACACCCTGTTTACACTTAAAAAAAAAAAATAATAATTAGAGTAGAAAAAAATATGACGCGCGCGTATGACGAACGCGTGTATTACTAATATTGAGTCGTCGTCGATATACGGTGACGACGGATGATGATTGTCGAGATTCACGAATTATGTTGTTTTAATTATATTCGTGTACGAGAAAATTATATTATTTTTGTCGTGGTGTGTGCGATGAGACTCACACGCGTGAGTGGTACAACAAAAGAGTCGAGCAGTCGTATATCGTCGACGAAACGAATGAACAAAAAAAAAATCATAACAACAAAAACATAATACCCGAGTAAGTGTATTACACACGACATTATAATATTATATTATTATTAACTATTAAAATAAAAATAAAAAAAAATACGCGCATAGTGATCCATATACGAAAAACATAATATTTTAATCGTTCCAACAAACGAATAAGCAATATTAATCAATGATAATAATAATAATACATAAACTTAGTACTTACGCATACGACTTATATTATTATTTTATCTTTGGTTTTGACAAAAAGCTGTGTGCGCAAGTTATTTGTGTGTGTTTATGTGTATGTGTGTATGTGTGTGTGTGAGTGTGTATTCGTTCTTAAAACTAAAAAAATTTACATACAAAATAATTATAATAATATTATCGGTTACACGATATACATTTCAATAAATATAATATTATAAACATATTATTTTACTATTAATATATCATTTTACAAAAGTGACGTTAATCCAATAATAATAATTATTATCGTCCACCCACCATACCACTACTGCGGTTCGGATTTGCAGAGGACCTCGAGCGGTGGCGACAGCAACAGTTGGCCGCCGGTGGGCGAGGTGGGCGACGGCGGGTCTAGGCCCAGCGCGGCCGCCATGGCCGCGGCGCCGGACGCCGAAGACGACGAGACCATCTCGTACCGGGAGTGGGTGCGCATGTGCCTGGTGATCATGTCCCGACGGCACGCGGCGTACGGACATTGCGGACATTTGTAGGGCTTCTCGCCGGTGTGCGTGCGCTGGTGCGTGCTCAGGTGGTCGGACCGCGAGAACACTTGCCCGCACACGCGGCACGTGTACGGCTTGACGCCCGTGTGCAGCCGCATGTGCCTGGTCAGCATGTCGCTCCGCGCGAACGACCGGTTGCACACCTCGCACGGGTACGCTTTGGCCGTGCCGCCGGACGAGTCGCCGCCGTTCTCCGACGACGATGACGCCGCCGTCCCGGAGCCGGGCGACGACGACGACGCCGACGACGCCGAGGTCTTGTGCCGGGACGCCATGTGCTTGGCCAGCCGGTCGTGCAGGCTGAACATCTGTCCGCACACGGGACACACGTACGCCACGTCCGAACCGACGGGCATCTCTTCGACGACGGGCGACACTTCTAGGTTGTACCGGACGGCCACCGACGCCTTGGTGGTGCGCGACGCCACGTCGCCCTTGACCACCGGCACGGTGTATCCACCCGCACTCCCCGGCCGGCTGTAGTAACCCACCGACAGCACAGACGTGGCCTGCGGAGTGGTAGTGGAAGAGGCGGTGGCCGGGAGCGGGGGAGACGGCGTCGAAGCGGCGTTGGCAATGGTGCAGGTGGACGGTTCGGCCGCCGGCGGTTCGGGCGGCGCGGTGAACGGCCAACAACCGCCGTTCTTCATTGACAAGTCTAACGGCGAGTCTTGCGGCGGTTGGGGTGGCGGTGGTGGCGGCGCGGACGACCTGCACCCGGAGTTGGGGCCCCTCTTCCGAGCCGGCTTGTCCAGCGGATGAGGCACGGAAAACGGCCTCTTGCCCCTCCGACCAACAGTCGCGGCCGACGCGGTTACCCGGACAGCTGCGGCCGTCGACGCGGTCGAGTCGTCGTTACCTCCTCCGGGGCTGCAGTGTTCGGCTTTGGTCGCTTCAAACCACATAGGAACATCGGAGTCGGAATGGCTCCGCCGCTTCCGGAAAATGTCCGGCAGGTATTTGGTGTGCAGGTAGTGTTCGAACGTGTACATGGAACCGGCCAACAGCGACGCCGGCGACATGGGCGTGACCGGCGGCTGCTGTGAGTTCTTGGCATGGTGCACGTTCCTGGGCTGCAGGTGCTGCTGCGATAGGGGCGGTAGCATCGGCGGCAGTGGGTGCCGGGGTGGCGAAGTGCCGTCGCCGCCGCAGAACAAGCAGTCGCACTTCGGGTACTTGAGATAGTGTTGCAGCGGGTGCGGCGGTAGCGTCGGCGGTGCATGAAACTGCGATTGCGCGGTAACGGGTGGCTGCGGCGCCGGTGGGTCGTCCAGTCTCGTCCGGTTCGGGCTGAACGGTGAGTCGGTGTGCGAGCTACGCGGCGACCGGTTGCACGACGACGATCCGGCCGGGCTGAACGGTTCCTCGTAGTCTTTGCACGACGACCTCCGCAGCGACTCGTCGCTCTCGTACCCGACGCCGTTCGTGACGACCGAGTCGCCGTGACCGCCGTCAACCACCACCACGGCCGTCACCGATCCACTACCGTCTTTGATCGTCGACTCGTCTTCTTTCACGGCGACGACATCGACATCGATGTTGTTGTTGTTGTTGTTGTTGTTGTTGTTGTTGTTGTTATTGTTGTTGTTGTTATTGTTGTTGTTGTTGTTGGGCGAAGTCGCCTGGCCAGCCAACCTGTCCAGCACTTGGTTCAGGCGTTTCCGCTTTTTGTGTTTGACGACCACAGGTCGCGTGCTGGGAACGTGGTGTAGGTGGTTATTGTTGTTCGTGGCCAGCGGATGGTTATTGTTGGTCTTGTAGATCGTCGACCGGCTCGCCCTGTCTGTCGGCGGCTCCATTTCCACCTCAGCCATAGTCATTCGTGCAGCTAATCGAACAGACGTTCAATCACCGCAAAATGACGCACGCGCACAAACACGGTGGTGGCCTGAAACAAGAAAAACGAAAAATTATAGACGACCGTCCGAAATCGGTGTAAAGGTTTTTCGACATCCTCATTATAATAAAGATCGTTCTGAATAAATAACTAAACTTGAAACAAATGTTGTTATCTTTTATGTATAATAAATCGATTGAAGAAGTTAGTTGATAAGAACACAAGCACAAACTTTAATTTTAGGCAATAATTTGACAGATATATTTTAACTGCAATACTGAAAAAACCGTTTCAAAGTATAAAGTCGCGCAATGTGCAATTTATAATGAATAATGATCAAATAATCTGCAATCCTGCGACTAGCATGGATAATTCAGACGGTTTAAATAAAAACAAGTAGGTATAACCGAAAATCTTTTCAGGGTTGGACTTCCCATGTTTGTAATTTTAGAACGAGCACTATGAAAAATCTTATACCTACATTTAAACAAGGATACACTTCCAAAAATAATTATGTACGAGTAAGTAATAATAAGCGAAAATATTTATGCATTATATTTAGTATTACATATATTATAAAATAGCTAAAAAAAAAAATGTTTTTAATTTATCATAAAATATTAAGTTAAGTAGGTATGCAAAGTAAAAAATAGACGTAAATGTTACAATAGATAGGTATGGATGAAGTCTTTTAAAAAATTATTTTCCTTTTTAGTTGAAACTTTATTTTTATTTTTTATTTATTAATATAAATAAACGATATAATAACGAAAATATTCGTTAATATGTATAAAATCTTTAAATATGTTGCAAAATTACTTAAATCTGATAAAATATGCTAAAATATACAACATATATACTTTTTTTTTTTTTTTTAAGTTCACATTATTTTACATCTTAAACACGTCTTTACAATACATTTGGGTGAATATAAAAGGTCGTAAAAAAATTTTGCAATACAGGTGATGAATCCGCTAAATATCGTCTTAAGTCATTTCTATTAAACTAATCATACTTTTTATATTTTTAACGTTAAG